CACACAAGATGATATGAATGTATAGATGTAGTATCGGATTGGCCCTAACCTTTGGAAGAGGCACACCTCCTCCCCCACCTAAGGACAGAGGGTAGGTAATGTCTTTCTCTCCTTGGTGGCTTTAGAAGGATTCTGTGGCTCGCAGGAGGGTGGGTAAAAAAGACGAGAAGACCAGAATCTCCTCAAACCCTGGGCTCACCCCATTCTGAAGCCAGAAAGGTTGTCTTTCCCACTCTCTCTGGAAGCATCTGTTAATTGTATCTTCCTCTGAGAAGGGTCACCTCTCTTGCCACAAACCCCGGCTCCTTGTCCCTGCCCAGACTAAGTAAGTATTTAAAGTCGAGAGAAAACCCCAAGGTCATAGCTCCCTTCCCCCACCTCATGTTCATAACACCTTTTCAATTCTACAGCTGCCCAGGTACTGTTCAGGTTTATTAGCACTAAGTTCTGTAGAGAGCAGGATGAGAGACACTTGCCTGGCTGAGTCTACTCTTTGGGGATTTCCACTTAGAGCCCTTTCTCTTTTCATCAGTGACTGAGCATGCACTCAGATGCCAGAGAGTGTGGGCGCTGGTGGGGTCTGGCTGGGTTTGCCACTGGGAAAGCTGTAGGGATGGAGGACAGAGTGCCCACTGGGACTGGGCACCATGGTCTACCCCTCTGCCTCTTTTGACCTTCCCCACTTCCCACTGGGCAGTTACTCCACACTCAAGCTCCTCGGGATCCCTGGGGCAGGGGTGATGCTCAGGGTCCAGACTCCATCCATGGCTTACCTCTTAGCCCTGGAGCTGTTGACAAAATGCTGTGAGATTCTGGGATAACTTTCCCTGACAGCTGCCCCTTCCTGCATGCCTTCCCCACACATTAAAGCAGGTTCTTCCAAAAACATAACTCAGCTACAGGTACCTAGTATTATTATAATGTTTGACCTGTTTTGGCTTTTTTTTTTTTTTTTTTAAGCAAAATGTGGTCCCATCGGAAGAATACAAACAGATCAGCTGCCACTTTTGCTCCCTTTGGACCAAGCTCCACCCACAATGGGGGTGGGGTGGGCTGGAGGGCAGTTAACTCACTTCCAAGAGACCTGGATTAATTTCCCCACCACATCCCCCCAGGGAAAGGCCTGCCCTAGAAGGGAGACCACCCGCTTAAAGCCTGGCCATTCGATCTGGTATCTGCCCATCTGTCTGTCTGTCTGTCTGTGGGATCAACAGCCTCCAGCCAGCTCAGCTCCTCGCCAGCCCCAGCCCAGCCAGCTGTAATTCCTGCCTGTTACAAGTGTTAACACCTGGCCTGGGGGCCTTCCTCCCCCGCAGTCTCCAGGTGCCTCTCTGGGCCCAGCCCACTGACCCCCACAGGGTTTGACTGAACATGTTCACAAGCCTCAGAGAGGCAGGCGGAGGTAGGAGTGGGTGAGGGAGGCAGAAGGACATCTGACAGATGGGGAAACTGAGGCAGGCTCTTGAGTTGAGAAATGGGTCTCAGGTATATTTCCCAGTTCACTGCCCTTGACTTCTGTAGAAGACTCCCTGCCCCCAGCTGTGAGTTGGGGCAGGCTGGTGATCCCTGGGTGAAAGGGGAGGAAACAGAGGCCCCAGATGTGTGGTCACATAGAGGTGGAGTGTGCTCTTGACCCCCATCATTAGCCCCTTCCATCAGGGCCTCTGGACTGTAGCAGACACTAGGCTGGGCCCTAATAAGATAGTTCATATTTCCCCTGAAGAAGGAGAAGAAAGACAAGTTCCTCCACCAGGCTCTAACTGCAACTGACAAGAAGAGTTACAAAAATCAGGGCTTGCTGTCACCACTTCCCGTCCCAGCTCTGCCACTACCTGGCTGCAGGGGTCTGGAACACATCTCCTCCTTCCATGAACCTCCCTGTCTTAGGCCTCTCATAGCTCTACCCTTCTGGTCTACCTTCTCTCAGGGCTGGGGCCTGACCAGTGCAGGACATGGGGATAGAAATGACTTCTTGAGGGGTGGCATAGACAGAAATCCCAGCTAAAGGATTTTCCCTATAATTCTCTCCTGGGGAGTATGTGATCTGGGTGAGCCAAAGAGGGCAGCCATGATAGGCTCAGATGCGAAAAGGACTGGAATCTGATTGCCGGGAGGGGGAAATGGGAGGGCAGAATGAGTGAGAACAGGAATCTGAAGCCTATCCACTCTACCGCCCCTGTCCCAGCAGCCCTGGCCCTGGTCCCAGTCCTGAGAAGGTGACTCACCCTCCACCCCAGCTCGAAGACCAAAGGCAATCAGCCTTGGAGGGGAGGGCTGCTGACCACAGTTCTCAGGAAGACAGGATGATCTTGTGCCAAAGAAGGCTCTGCACACCCTGCCCCTTACCGCCCAGCTGTGCCCCTTGCAGCTTCCTTGTTAGACCTTTGTCTCCTGCTGGACTGTCCCTCCAAGACCATGAACACCCACCAAGCACCCAATCTCGGGATGTCATTCACACCCAAGGGTCATATGTGTGCAAACATAGCCGCAGGCCCAGCCATAGTCACTGGCACTTGAGGACAGGGTCACAGGCAGACTCAGAGACAACCCTCACACTCACACTTACAAGCACAATCAGGTCATGGGCATGAGCACTGATATCCATGCACAAAGACATCTGCGGGGCTTTCCCCTTACATTGCCACGAAGGCATGTGCGTGTGCACACACACATGCATGCACACATACACACACACAACATTCACATGCCCAGTCATGAACACAGTCATGCAATGTCAAAAGCAGACACAGGTGCTGACCTTGACATGGGCATAGATAATTCCAGACTTTCTCTGTCACACACACACATACACACTCATAGGATCAGCCACTTGCTGACACTTGTATGCAGACATAGCACACCCTGTCACCAGCCACAGATGCCCCAGGCCATCTCACCTGAGTTCACATCCACAGTCACACAGTTGCAGGCACAGATACTCCTGCACACAGAGAAGCACTAGTGTACAGATGACACCCCTTAGGTTCACAGACCTAGAAAACACGCACACACACAGGTCTCTCCTCTCAAACAAAGCAGCATCCCTGTCCCTGAACCCCCAAACAATCCATGTGTCCAGCATTATGTTAGGGCCAATGCCCTTTCTTTCCAGGTTTTTCCAACATCTTTCTATAGGGTGTGCCTATCTAGATGCTCCCCGATACACCATGACACACCAGACTGCCACCCTCCCTACAGGCGCTGCCCCAGGAGGTGCCTCCTCCAGCTCATAGTGTAGGGGAACCTGGTCTCTCTTCCTCATCCTGGCAGCCTGTAGCATTCCAAGCCTTCTCTTCCTACCTTTCCCATGGCCAGGGTCCCTGTGAAGGCAGAGAACAGCATGTCCTTAGCCGGCGGGGGTCAGGAAGGGCCAGAGACGCAGGACTGGTTTTCACAGCGGCCTTCCTCACAACCGGCAAAGCCCCCATCCCAGAATCCCAGCTGCCCCTGCCGCCCCCACAGACTTCTTTATGTACAGGAGGCCTCAGGCCAGCCCAGCGCCGCAGGAAGGATGGGCTGGGCAGAAGAAAGACTTGGGTGTCTGTCCTGGAAGCAACTCTCGGCACCCTCTAAACAGAGACCCTTGGTCATGCCCTGCTCCTGCCCCCATTCCGGCCCCCAAACACCCAGACACAAACGCTACTACCCCCAAACAACTGGAGGCAGTCTCAGGGTGTGGCCCCCCAATCTGCGGTCTCTGCCTCCTCTATCCTGGGCTGAGGAGGGGGTGGCAAGGCAGGGAAAGGGGAACACGCAGGTGGCACCGCACTCTGGTGGCACTCCTGACATTCACTCCAGGGGCCATAGCCCCTTTTCTTACTCACAGATCCCAAATTCTTCCTCCTCACCTCCCACCCCCCAGGCCGAGGCTCTCCTACATCCAGGAGGGGAAGATTCTTTAATTAAAGTTTTCCGGAATGCAGGGGGCTGGAGACTGAGGAGAGGCGGGTGTAATTTAGAGAACTGGTTTCAGTGTGTCTTTCCCCTCTGGCCTCTGGGACCTGCAGGGGAAGGGGGGCGATGGGGCTGCTTGGAAAACAAGGGGACTCCCTGGAACTGGAGCTCCCAAAGGGTTGTTTATTCCTCGATCGGCTCCCCCATACACGCACACCCCCCAAAAACACCGTGCTAGGTTTCCCGGCCTTATTTAATAAACATGTCTTTTGCGTCCGCATTTCTCGGGGATAGAATTCTCCTTTCCCTCTCTCCCTTTCTCCTCGGTCCTCGGTTTTCCAAAAGGAACGAATTTGACATGGAGAATTGGGTTTTTGGTCAAAGAACAAACCCACCCTCCTTCTGAACAACTACATTTTCAAGGATCCCTCCTTTCGCCAGGATGGACAAGCAAGAAATGAATAAAATCCGAATTCAATGGCATCTCGGATCAGCAAATACCACATTCACTTCTGAGGCTCAAGATGAATCTAGAGCAGAGTGGGGAGAGTCTGATGACCCCCCCCATTCCCCTGGCCCTGAAGCCATTGGGGTCTGAAATATGAAGGCAAACGGGGGTTATTGTGGGGAGATCTCTTGATGGAGACGCCGGCAGAGGTGGGGGTGGCAAGGAAGGAACAGGATGATTTTGCCCATGAAGACCCCAAAATGGAGAAGAGGAGTGGCTGGGCCCCAGGGACTGCGCTAGATTTCCAGAAACCCAACTGCAAGCAAATGGAGGGTCTTCGGGGGGGCCCCCCTGATTGTGATGGGTGGATGGTTAGGATCTAAAAACAAGAGACCTCCTTAGTCGAGGGAAGTCCTCCAGCCTCTGCAGCGAGTAGCAGAGAAAATGGTGATTATCAGAGAAGCCAGGAGTTGGATTCTGAAGGCGACACCAGCAGAAAATCCAGGAGGGGTGGTCGGGTTGGAGGGGGGGGGGGCTGGAAGGAGGCACAGAGAAAGGAGCCCCAGCCCTGCCATAGCCCACCCCCAGCCAGCGCCCCCCACCATCCCGGGACTCGGTGAAGAAATCGGGCCGCGGGCAGACAAGAGGAGAATCTTACCACCAAATTGGGTAGCCGGCGAGGACCCTGGTGCCACAGAGCAGGAGGCCGAGGAGCAGCCCGAGCAGGTGGGGCTCCATTAGAAGCAGCGCCGAGGAGGAAGTTTGCCCGCGACCATGAAGAGGGGGAGCGACGCCCCCAATAGTTGGAACAAAGTCCACTTGAGATTGGAAATGACTTTCGGGCTTGTCAGAAGCGCACCTCCACCCGCAGCCTCCCCCCTCCCGAGCCCAGCGCTGAGCAGCCGGGTTTGAGGATGTCAGCGAGCAGCCAATCAGCGCCCGCGGCCTAAGGTAAGAGATGAGTCTGTAGTTCAGCCTGTCAATCACGCGCCCCTCCCGCCTGGCCCACGAGTCGGGCTCCGGGAAGGGCATCGCCCAGTAAACTTGGGTAAAGCCCGCGCCCCGGACACAGTGAGAACTTGGGGGGACACGCACGTTGGACCCTCTGCTGGCCCGGTACCGCCGCGGCCCCCCGCCATCCAGGTTTTGGGAGCTGGGGCTTTGACGGGGGCGTTCACGTGGTGGTGCCCTGTTGGCGTGGGCATGGATGGGTGGCTTCTTTAATCTCGGGGGACCGTGACCCCTTGGGACTTGGGCCCGTGAGGAATCGACAGTAGAAAGCACAAAAATGTTTCAGAAGCCTCGCTCGGGCAGGTCAAGATCCGAGGGTCGCGGCAGGGGTTGGGAAATGCAACCTCTCTCAGCCTCCAGCCTCCCGAGCCCGCGAGGCACCCGCCACTCGACCCAGCCGCAGGAGGTCGCTTCCCGGGTGTCTGAGAGGGGCGCAGAGGCGTCCGCGGAGGCTCGAAGGTCTGGCTGCGGGCGGCGCCGGGGGACAGAGCCGAGTGTCATTTGAGTCTTTTGTGAGGGATCAGATCGGTATCGGGACCTCCTGCTGCCTTTGCATTTCCTGCAACTGACACCAGCGGCCAGTTGCATTTCCTGCTCTGGAGCCGGGTCACTTTCTCCTCCTTGAGGGGTTCAGACCCGGCCTCCAGCTCGAGTCAGAAGCACGACCCACAGTTCAATTTGGATCTTGTGGATGAACCATTTTGCGGCGGGTGAAACGCAGCGGCCCCAGCAGGGAGCATTTGGGGTCCTCGGAAGATCCTGCTTCTCTCCCCCCCCCCCCCACGCCCCACGCCCGCCCAACTTCCCTGCTTGAAGCCCTTTGCTTCAACCTAGAGTTTGGCGATAACGCCCCTTTTCCCTCTGTGGACACCAAATGCACCCAAATACTCCACCGTTTTTACCATAGGTAAAAAGTCCTTTCAACCTCCGTGGGTTCTTTCTATTCTCTCGCTTTCCAGAGTCAAGGAATTAGGTCTCAGCCCTGAGTGGTGCTGAGATGGAGGGCAGACTTTGGGGTCACTCGCCCTTGTCGCCTGGGCTGCCTGCCTCCCAAATCCCCCTCCCTGGACACCCAACCCCTCAAGAGGCACTTGGGACCCTGGAGCAGCCCTGGACCTGGGGTGAAGAAAGCAAGGCCAGTGAGAAGGGGCTAGGGCCGCTGGTCAGAGAACCGCGGCAAGAAGGGGCCGCGAAAGAGCCCACCCCAAGTCCTTCTGAGGCCTGGAACGCGGGCTTTCCACAGGGTGGGGGGCATGGCTGGTGGAAGTCCACGCCAGGGGGCAGACATTTCTGGCTTTTGATCTGAGCCACCTGTGCCCACAGCTCAAACCCGCTGCCCCTGCGCATCCTGGGAGCCCTCTCCGCACACGGCTGCTGCGGGCGCGGGGAGTTCGGGGAACTGGCCCGGGGCACCAAGGGTCGGGAGAGCCGCCTGGGCTTGTCACGGCTTCTGCCGCGTTCCTAGCCCGACTGGAGGGGGTGGGGTGGGGGGAGAGATGAAAGAGAGGAGGGAAGGGGAGAAAAGGGAAGACAGTGCAAAAGAGAGAGGGAGGGAGGGAAGGAGAAAGAGAGAGAGAGCGCTCCAGAGGCTGAGAGACTGAGAGAAGAGGGGAGGGAGAGGAGGGAAGACTAGCAGAGGGAGCCCAAGGAGAAAGAAGGGAAAAGGGGAAAAGAAGAGAGGTTGAGAGGGAGAAGGATGGGCACAGTGGAGAAAATGCCCTAACCTACCCAGGGACAGTGGATAAAGTGAAAGCTGCAAAGATGGGAACCCTTAGAGAGGCCCCCCACGGTGGGCTGACTCTGGGCACCTTGTTTCTGATTCATCTGGAAAGAGGGTCACAGTAGATTTGCCATTGTCCCTAACTGTGGAGCCCCAGGGCCCCAGCTCTAGGGGTAGACACATATCCTTTATATCCTGCTAGGTCCCACCTGGACTTCTGTCCTACCCAGTGGAGCTCTTAGCTGGTTTTCTGATCAGAAGTACCCGCTGGAGCTCAAATCCTACTTGACAATGCGGGGGTGGGGAGGTTGGGTTGGGGAGTGGAGGGTGGGCTTCAGAGCCCCATAATCATCTTTCTTAGAGCTGAAGAGGGCTACCTTCCCTTGCCACCAAGACACCAATGTGGAGTCAGTGTGATTGAGAGATAGAGCCTGGACCAGACGACTTCTTGGGGTCGTTTCTGGGTCCCCAAATTCCACAGCCCTGAGCAGTCTGGGCTAAAGAGTTAAGGCTGTGAGTTGGGTGGGAGTTGGCCGAGACATGCTCAGTCAGTAGCTCTGGGCCAGGTAGGTAAGACTGGCCATTCCCTGAAGGTCCACGTCATATCCGATGCCTCCTCCAGGCAGCCTAGGAGCATTACAAGACGCAGGACATGAGCCCAGGGAAGGCATGGAATAAAGGCAGGGAAACACGTGAGTGGGAGAGTGGAATCTAGACTTGTGCTGGCCGCACGGCCTAAGGAAGTAAAGGAGAGGCCTGAAGAGGCGGTGTGGGAACTTGCTAGTGGCCTTGCATGGCCCCTGGAGAATGGAAGCATGTGTGGGGATTTCCCCCCCACTTGAAAGCTCCCCAGAGGAGGGGATTCCTGAGCCCTTTCCCCTCCCCTGCCAGGTGTCCTTCCTTCAACACAGGCTTAATTTCCTTCCTCCTGCCGGCTCAGCGCTGCCAGTGGGAACACAGGAATGGTCCTTGCCCGGGGAGTGGGGAGGGGGCGCCCCCTCCCCCTGCCAGGCCACGTGTCACAAACGGAAACACCCTCTCTTTAATGGACACCCCGGGCCGCAGGGTGGGTTGCACTCCATGGGGAACTGGCTCAAGTCACTCCAAGGCCAGCTGGAGTGGGTGAGGTGGAGGCTTTCGTGCGGTGGACCCCGAGGCCTCCTCCCTGAATGGGAGGGTGGCCTCTTGAAAGAGCGCAAAGAAGGCGTGAGGGCCTGGGGCTGGGGGCTGACACGTGGGAAGCACTTTGTGTTATGTGTGTGAACATTGGGGCCCTCAGACCTGCCCATCTCCAGACGGATTGCCCTTCCCATCCCACCCCCACCTCTCTAGCTGCCCCCAGGTTCCTTTTGATGTGCGCTCCCTGGGGACACGCTGTCGGCTGCTGTGGATTCAGCGCCGCTCGACCGCGCCCCCTGCGGCAGCACCGCGGAGACAAAGAACTCTGCCGCCTGGCACCCGCCCGCCCGCAGGGGGCTACCCGTCTGTCTCACGGAGGGAGGAGGAAATCTCCGATCAAGCGCTGGGCCATTCATTTCTGCTGAGAACATGCTCTATGGCTGTTGGGTGCTGGGGCCCTGGAGCCGGGCGCCAGGACCAGCCTGGGTAGGATGAAGGGAGAGGGAAAGCTGCTGCAGGCGCGGGAAGCAGCAAGTGCGAAAAGCCGGGGGCCTAAAACAACGCGACCCACGCAGAGAACCGCACCAAGCGGGAGCGTGGGGGTTTCACACTCTCTGACCTGGAGAGAGGCGATTTGAACTTTCTGCTAAGAGCTATAGGAGCCGCAGAACGGTTTCAGGCAAGCTCTTTGGAGGCCACTAGAAAGCTGGGCAACCTGGACGCAGGCTGGCTATAGAGTGGGTGATGGGCCCAGGAAATAATCGAACAAGATTTCTTTAAACTGCCCAGCATAGAGGTAGCGTCCTGGAAATGCCAGTAGCATGCACAGGGTAAGCACATCGAGAAGCAACAAATGTCAGTGGAACACACCGAGGCGCTCCGAAGCCTACCAGCCACTGCGTCGCCTGGCCCCGGCGCGCCCTCTGGCGGCGGTGCTGATATTAAGGCAGGAAGTCCGCCGACGAGGAAGGGAGTCCTGCCCCGCCCCGCCCCGCCCCGCCCCGCACCCGTGGGCCTGGAGCCCGCGCCTTTGTTGGTGAGCAGCCCAGACCGTTGGGGATCCGGGTTAAGTAAGCGTCCTCGTGATTGAATGCCGTTAATCTACTTCACAATCCCTGAGCTTAGTTAGGGATAAAGTGTGCGTGGCTTCAGGCTCCCCTCTCCTCCCCACCCAGGTGGCTCCCTTGGGAGGGCGGGCAGGTCCCAGATACAGAACGAGGGCGGGCCAAGGCGATGTGAGGTCCCAGGCTCGCACTCCTAGGCAGTTGGGCACCGTTCCTGCGGCTGTATCAGCCTTGTGTCGGTGGAGATATGGGAGGCTGCAAACGGCAGGGTGATGTCACCGAGTCCTTCCTGGCCTGGCCCACCCGCACCCCAAAATCACAGGTGCCACCTGTGAGAACGTGAGGGGTTTTCCCCGTCACAGTAGTTCCTCTAGTCTTAGTCATCTCTAGCTCCCCAAGGGCATTTTGGAAAGTGATTTGGGTCAAAGTCTTTTAGAAGGGAGGGAGCAACAGAAAGAAGTGGGGGGCACCACTGGCCAGCTGCCAGTTATCTCTGACCCTCCTCTATTCCGTGTGAGGTGGAGATAATACTTTATATCTCATAGGGAGTTGTCGGCGCTAAATGAGAACGGTGCTGACAGAATGCCAGACCCAGGATGGTGAATGATAAATATTGGGTTTCGTTCTTCTCTTAGAGGCTGAAGAACAGGCTGCTCTCTCTTGAGTCCTTCCTTCTGCCCCTGTCAGCTCTGCTAAGCATTTCATCCTCAGGCTCTTATGAGCCTTCTCCAGAAGGATTTACCCATGGAAATTTTGTCTGACATCCCCACTGGAGGCCTACTTCAAAATCTCTTCAGAGACTCCCCCACCTCCACTAGCAGCTCCCCCACCCCATCCCTCTGGGCCTCTTATTCTGCTTTATTTTTCTGCATAGCCCTTAACACTGACCTTATCTAACATATATGACACATCAAATATACCTGTTAAGTTGCTTATT